ATCTTCAATGCAACCTCTACACCTAAGGCTCACAGAACATAGAACAAGGGATAAAGAGAACACTAATGCATCTTTTAACTCTCATCAGTGAAGTGCCCTCATGCAACAGAGGGCCAGGAACACAAAAGTTCACAAATGGCCAAAGTGTAGAGAATAAGAGTCTGCAGAGTGTGGGTCTTTGGACAAGACTCCTATATTAAACTCCACCCACCCAGGGCTCAGGGACCATTGTGGAAGAGGTGGAAAGGTTGTAAGAGCCAGGGAAGAGGTGCATGGCCATATGGAAATAGAGTCCTACAGGCTCCTGGGACCTTGGTCATAGGAACCTACAGCAATGGTGTGAGCATGCATAAGGCCCATGCGAACTCAAGCAGACAAAATCCCAGCATAGAACTGTATAAATGGGCAGCAGGCCCCAATTTTAGTCAAAGAACTATTGGCAGCTGATTACTGCTGGGTAGGGAAAAGCTAATCTTCTTAAAGGGAGGGACTCTAGATAGGCTGACTAGACCTCAGTGGATGAACTTGCACTGAGGGATATTTGGGAACACTAACTTGACTCACCTTAACACAAATGATAGAATGCATGAATTCCAGTGGGGTGGGGTGGCTATGGGAGGTGCCAGTGGGGAAGGGAATATAAAGATGATTAAGATGTTCTGTTGAAATACACAAAAAATTCAATAAAAAAAATTACAAAAAAGGAATGACTCACTGACATACACTAGATTCTCAACAAATCTCAAAGTTATTATTCTGCATGTACAAAATCAATACAAAACAAACAATTATTATATGACTGTATTTATTAAAACCTAGAAAACACAAAATAATTTTATAGGGACTGAAAACATTTCAGTGGTTCCCTAGAGTTGGGTGCAGGGAAGGGAGAACTCGGGGACATGGACAATCATCCGGATGATTGAGACTTTTTGTAATCTTTTTTAAATTGAATTTTTGTGTATCTCATATAGAACATCTCAATCAATCTTAATCATCCTTATACCGTCTTCCCCACCGGCATCCTCTCATACCCCTCCCCCACTGGAATTCATACATTCTGTCATTTTTGTTAGGACTATTGTGTCAAGTTAGGGTCCCCAGACATTCCTCAGTACAAGTTCATCTACTGAGGTCTAGTCAGGCTATCTAGAATCCCTCGCTTTAGCAAGATGATCTCTTCTTCACCTCAGCAGTAATCAGTTGCCAATATTTCTTCAGCTAAGACTGGGGTCAGCTGTCAATTTCCCCAATTCTATGCTGGGTTTTTGTCTGTTTGAGTGTGCATGGATCCTGTGCATGATGACACACACCATTGCTGTAGGTTCATAGGAGCTTGTAGGATCTGTTTTCGTATGATCATGCACCTCCTCCCTAGCTCTTGCAGTCTTTCTGCCCGCTCTTTCTCAATGGTCCCTGACCCTGGGTGGGTGAAGTTTAATACAGGAGTCCTGTTCAAGGACCAGGATGTTTTGTATCTTAATCCTGCAGTGGTTCCCTAGTATGGAAAATGGCAAAAACTCATAGAATTGTGTGCTTCAAAGGGATGAGGTTTGCCACATATGTATCTACATAAATACTTCTATAAAATCGATTTAAAACACCAATCTGGCACAGAAACATAGCTTGTAGTATGATCTCACTTTTCAAACTCTTTCTCTGGAGCTAGAGAGATGGCTCAGTGGTTAAGAAGACTGGTTGTTCTTGCAGAAGACCGGGTTCGAATCCCAGCACCCACATGGCAGCCAACAACTGCCTGTAACTCCAATTCTAGGGGATCCAACAGCCTCTTATGACCTCCGTAGGCATTGCATGACACGGGTACACTTACCTACATGCAGGCAATACACTCATACACATAAAATTTTAAAAATTTAAAATCTCTTTCTCGCCATCTGTATAGCACACGCAGGCTGACCCCAGTGAAGTTCATTCAGTGTTAATGATGTGCCCGTTTCTGAGTATTAGGATTTGAACATCATTTATTCCCATTTATATTTGTCTTCCATATTTTACATATTGTTTGCATTTTTATAGTTGTCATAGGTGATGTTTTTACAATTCTTAAGCCATTAATTTCCAAAATATATAAGCACATAATATCCGACTCCCCTTTGCACACTGTTCTGAAAACATTATATAGAGGCACATTTCCAAAACAAAACATTCCAGGAGTACTAGACCCCAGCCCTGTCCCAGCCAGGCCAGGCCAGCCTCTACTCATCAGCTGGTGTGTGTGTGTACGTGTGTGTGTGTGTGTGTGTGTGTGTGTGTGTACATTTATGTGTGTATATATATATTCCTATAAATCTGACTGGAAACATTTCCAGCAGTTTGCTCAGGTGAAAGGTTGACTTGTCTGGCATGGAGCATAGTCAGTTCTATTCATTGAGCAATGACTCCAAACTACAGGAATATAAGGACACATCAGTTCAAAGTTTATAATAGAAAAAACAAAACATATGCGTGTTTCCCCAAAAGCCATCATTCTTCAATAAATCCTAAAATTTTTTCTTGCTAAAGATATTAAAATTTTTAGTGTATGTATTTTCTTTAAGAAATAATAAAAAGATTTACACTGTTTCCCTAAAATTAAAAGCGTATATAATTAGCTAAAAGTGTGGAGTTTTTTGTGCTCAATTTGACTGTTCATAAATTAGCTGTGTGACTGTGTTGCCTAGCAATTGTATTGACAAAGCTTTAAACCCCCGCAGTTGGCAGATTGGATCCTATTGTACACAGGTCCTTGAAAAGATGATATAGATTACTGAGATGCAATATTCCTTTTTAGAAAGAATAATAAGTATTTATATAGCCATCAAAGCCAGGTTAGACTGCAAAGTAAATAACATAAAAAAATTAAGATGGAAAACTGTACCTCTATTACGAACTGTCAAAGCCTGAAGGAAAACCATGTAAAATGCTAGAGGCCTTCCAATGCTACCTATTAAGAATGTCCTTGGCCTTAAGAAACACATGTGTGGCTGATGGGTTATATTTGGCATGGCCTCATTGTATCATAGAAACAGTAGAATGTACAGAAGATACCTCTTCACAAACCGAAGATGGTCTTCGAGCAAAGCAAAGACATGTAACACATCAGGCACTGACAATTTATTCTTACTTCCCTGAAGCACTTTCTTTCTATTCCTATTTTTCATTGTTCTAGAACAGGTATCACCCATACTCTGAATTCTATGTGGAAAGAGGTTCTGTCCGAACACCAGAATTGATAACGATCTGACTTGAAATGCAAAGTCCCAGGCTCTGACTCCAGGGAATCTTCCCAGTAGCAGGACATGGGGTCCTGGGTCTGTGCTTCTAAGAGCCTACTCACCCTCACTCCAATGAACAGGCACTTCTGAAAAAGCAGGGCCACATAGAGCCACAAAAGAATAACAAACCACATACAGCTTGTCCTCTCCAAAACTCACATGGAAATCTGATTATTTGTGTATGGTGTTAAGGGTCGCTTGGGGCCTTTAAAAAGTGATTATGTCACCCGGCGTAGTGGCGCATGCCTTTAATCCCAGCACTCAGGAGGAAGAGGCAGGCAGATCTCTGTGAGTTCAAGGCCAGCCTGGTCTACATAGTGAGTTCCAGGACAGCTGGGGCTACAGGGAGACCCTGTCTCAAAAAGACCAAAAAAAAAAAAAGTGAGTATGTCATTCGGAAAGATGAAAGTATTTCATGGAAAAAGTGGGTTTGTTCTCACAAGAACATGAGGGCAGGGTTAGAAAGGGAGGCAGATCCTTGTGTTTTGCCTGTTCTGCATGTGTCCACTTGATCTTCCACCCTTAGGTCCTTAGTAGAAGCTTAGAAAGTGTGACTGCCTGACCTCAGACTTCTCAGACTTCAGGACTATGAGCCAAAACAAACCTCTGTCCCATATAAATGACCCAGACTCTGGTATTTTGTTATAGCAACAGAAAATAGACCAAGACACAAGGTCAATGCTTTACACCAGCATTGTGGCTTGAGAAATACCACGGTAGCTTTGGGATGGACATGGTCCTGGGTACTGCATGGAGCATAGATTACTAGAACTATTCAAGCCCTTTTCTTCTTTTCCTACCTTTTTTGTCCAGTCTTTCTGCCTTACAAAATGTTCCCCTTGGCTGTACAAGCTTTTTACTACCTAAAAAAAAAAAACACCTTAGTTTTATCTCTACATTGGGATGTCAATCTATATACTGTCTCCCTGAGCCTTTAACAAAAGATTGCCATGGAAGCTGGGATAAAGCCAGTCTCCTAATGAACATATAGTTCTAAGCAGGTTCTCTGCCTGTGAAAAACAGTGTTTCCTTCATTCTAAAAACATCTCATTTGGAACTTTCTTAAAAGAGTGAAATTTTTTCAAACCCACACATTTCCACATGCTTATAAACCCTTTAGATAAAATTGATAAGGAGAAAAAAACTATAGAAGGTTAGTAGTATACAGGAAGTACCAGTTATAATGGGTTCAACGGGCTGGAAGCCACTTCAGCCTGAATCATCCCTGACCCTTCCCCTTTTCCTCCCCTGGAAGTAGCCTGAGGCAGAGCCTCTCAGGGCACCGCTGTTTGATTCTCTCTTATTATATCCTGAGCTGTGCCTACATCTACTACCAAAGCCTGACTTTCTCCAAGGTCCACACCATGCTCTGCAGTGTGTGCCCCAGAAAGAGTAAGAAAACCAGTGGCTACACAGCCACCTTGTTTATAGTTATAAATAATTGCCTCAGTGCGCAGAGAGCCACTTTGCGACCACTGTGTGCTTTTCTGTCTTTCCCCTTGGACCCAGAGATTCTGTGGCTCTTTTGTCGTTTGTGTCTATTACTTCCAGCTTGGTGGTTCCAAACTTAACTGCAATATAACAGCTTCTGTCAGTGGGCTGAGACAGGGATATACAACCTATACAGGGTACACATTGCTGGTGCCATAATGGAAGACCACACTCTTTCTAAGCATCTGCTTGGATACAGAACCTGCAAGCTTCCCCAAAGAAAACCTTCCATACCTCATCCTGCAAGAGAGTCTTACTGTATTCCAGGTGGTGTCTCTCCAAAATGGAAGTCCCATGAAGCTTTGCTAGTGAAGACGTGGACCTAGGAAGAAAAAGATGTAGTGTTTAAAGACTACACAGAACCATACAATATGGCATCTTCACTAGTTTAGGGTTCTTTTTTCATGCTTTCTCTGCCTCCCCACCCAATGGCTATGAAATGGTCAAATACAAAAGATGAAAGATGACAGAGCCAGGTGTGGTGGTGCACGCCTTTAATCCCAGCACTTGGGAGGCAGAGGCAGGCAGATCTCTGTGAGTTCAAGGCCAGCCTGGTCTCCATAACAAATCTAGGCTAGCTAGGGCTACAGGGAGACCTTGTCTCAAAACAGCCAAAAAAATAAAAAAGTTATTTACAGGGAGCCCAGTGCATAAGAAGTTTGGTCCATCTCATGTATATAAAATCTTTAAGTTCCTTGGGTCTGTGGCACTGTCTTGTGTAACATCTAGCAAGCTGTGGCAATCTGTAAACTATCTGCATAGAGAACATTCATTAAGAATTTCCATTCTGGTCCTGGTCGCATAAGCCCGTAATCCCAGTACCCAGGAGGTTGAGGCAGGAGGATTATGAGTTTGAGGCCAGCCTGGGCTACACAGCAAAATTCTGTCTCAAAGATAAATTCCTAGCCAGGTGTGGTGGCGCACACCTTTAATCCCAGCACTTGGGAGGCAGAGGCAGGCAGATCTCTTTGAGTTCAAGGCCAGACTGATCTACATAGCAAGTTTCAGGGCAACCAAGGACACAGTGTGAGACCCAGTCTCTATAAGAAAGAGAAAGAAAGAAAGAAAGAAAGAAAGAAAGAAAGAAAGAAAGGGAGAGAAGGAAGGAAGGAAGGAAGGAAGGAAGGAAAGAAAGAAAGAAAGAAAGAAAGAAAGAAGAAAGAGAGAGAGAGAAAGAAAGAAAGAGAAAGAAAGAAGAAAGAGAGAGAGAAAGAAAGAAAGAAAGAAAGAGGAAGGAAGGAAGGATAGATTTCCAGGAAACAAAATGTAAATCACTCTAAGATGTCATTTCTTCCCTTACCCAAGCCAGTAGCATGCATTTAATCATAAGGCTGGATGATAGCTTTATGTGAGCGAGGACCCAGTCTTTGGCACTCTTTTCTTCTGTGCCGGGGACAGGTGGAGGGGGTCATGCTGATGTATGAAAGAATAGTCTGTTTGTGGATGTGCCACTTATTCCAGCAGATCCAGAGTCCCAAACAAGGAGAAACAGAAGTTATACGTAGGGAGACCTCAGAATCAGCTCAGGACCACAGTTGCCTTGTGAGCAACTGGGTTCTCCATTATGAAAAATAATCAAGTACAGGCCAGACATGGTGGTACATGCCTTTAATCCTAGCACTCAGAGAGGCAGATGTAGGTGGAGCTCTGTGAGATCAAGGTCAACCTGGTCTACATGCTGAGTTCCAGGCCTGCTGGGCCACAGAGACCCTGTCTCAAAAAGACACACACAAAAAAGAGCAAAAGAAAAATAACTAAGTGCTGATTGCTGTAAAATATAGGACGGTGTATAGGGGAAGACAAGATGTCTATGACTCTTGATAGTTTTCTGATAACTTGCATATCTAATAACTGCAGATCTCCAAGGGTAAGATGAAGGAGACTAAAAGATCAGAGAACTAAAACAAAGACAAAAAAATGAGATGAAAAGAAAAGAAATCTAGGGGCTGGAGAGATGGCTCAACAGTTAAGAGCACTGGCTGCTCTTGCAGAGGATCCGGGTTCTATTCCCAGCACCCACATGGTGGCTAACAACCATTCCTAACTCCAGTTCTAAGGGATCCAACACTCTCTTCTGGCCTCCTTGAGCATTACGCAACACGAGTGCACTTACATACATGCAGGCAATACACGTATACACATAAAGTAAAAATAATGAAAAAAGAAATCTATAAACATATAAAAGCGTGAAGCAGAAAACCAACCGGCCAGAAAAATGACAAAGAAAACACAAAGACTTGGAGAAGTAAGAAAAATTTGAAAAAGCCAAGGTTTCCAGGTATTGTCAGGGGGCATAGTCTAAGTCTGAGAGATAAGGAGAAACCAGAACCAAGGTCAGACATGTTGGAGACAATCAGACCAAGAACACAAGGTCAGGCCAGGAGGCGAGTCATCTGTGCCCCCAACAGCTTCTGGTCGCTCTTGCAGATGGTCTTCTGGCTCCCATCAGTGTGAGAAGAATAATTTGATCTTAGTTAAACTTTTCAGTGAGCTACAGTTGCCAATATAACGGCTGAGGACTCCTGAGCAATTCTTCCAATGCAACAGGAGCACATAAAGAGGCTCACTGAGGACTATTTTGAAGGATGGCATGCAAAGAGACTGCATCCAGTCCCAGGAACTTAACAGAGCTGCCAGAAGGCTTCACTCATGCTAAGGCTGAAGAAGGTCTGAGGTCAGGAAACCTCTGTCACCACACATTTCTTCTGTCCACTTTACAGAAAATAAATGGCTGAAGAATGCTAAGAAATCATACACCAGGTCAGTGTGAAGCCTGGGATATAGCTCCAGCCTTCTTTAAAAGTTCCAGGTGCCACGTCCAGTCCTGCTGATGCCTCTAACCTAAGACAACTCTGACTGCATCTTCTTGAGTTTGTTTCCTCATCCATGAAGAGGGGGACAATGATGCCCCCCAAGTGGAGCAACTGGGAGATGAAATAAGACAAGGTATAGCACGTGCTTAGCCTGCACAACACACAGGCATGATGGTGCACAACTGTAACCCCAGCACTCACGAGCCTGAGACAGGAGGATTCTGAGGTCAGTCTAGTCAACACAGCAATACTTTGTCTCAAAAAAATAAAATGAAAAAGAGATGCTCAATGTGTAGTTTCTTTGGAACTGAATGGGCTAAGTGGGCAGAATGAGAAAAGACTCCAGTGACCATCAGGATACTTGCCTTCAAGAGGATAGAATGGCCACTGTGAGCTGGACCCTCTGGAGGTGACGGCGTCCCTGGCCCAAGTCTCAGTGGAGATCGTTCTTTTAAGATGAAGGCTAATCAGCACAGTTGCTCAGAGTGAGAGTAAAGGTTTACAAGGTGCTTTTCATTCAAGGGGTACATTTATGAGTACCTGCGACACAGGTTTCACAGACGTAATTTCATTTGATTCTGACAGGTCAATGTTATACCCCTTTCCTAGCTAAGAAGCTAGGTCTTAAATGGAATAAATGGTTTGCCCAAGATCTCTCAACCAGGAAGTGATTGGATCCCACAAACTAAGACGCCAAAGCCTGTCATCTCTGTAACACTTCTCTGCTTCTGGAGGGTGGTATGTTGTGTGTTAGAACTGACGGTCACATGCGGCTGAGGTAGATGGAACTGGGCAGGCATGAGCACTACTGATGAGTTTTGAAGAATGTTAATGATAATAATAAGAACATAATGCCTAATATTTATTAACAGCTAAAAACCTTTGAGCTGAGGTCTTTATATGCATGACTTCATATAGTCTTCACAACTGCACATGTTAGGTTATTGTAAATTTCTCTGTTCCAGTTGAGGAAATCAAGGCTTAGAGAGTGAATAACTTGTGAACCCAAATCTGTCTGACCCACACCCATACCCTCTTTACTACACTTACTTCCTTGGGGTAAAAGAAGGAGATGACATTGATGTTAGGATAGAAAACCAGCTAAAAGAGTTTGGTAGAGACACAAGACCAGGAAGTAAAGGATTGTGAGCCCAGGAAGATATGTTTTCTACCCTGAGCTGAGGACTGTTCCCTAGACATAAACTAATGTAAATCTAAGTCTAGCACACTTAAATATGTGAATTCAGTACTCTGGTTAAAGTTGTGTGAATGAAACAAAGACACCTGGGAAATGGAAGCAGAAAGGAACGGGAGCTGCAGGTGCAAAGGAGAAAGAGCAGGTGTTATCATGAGGGTGGACGTTCTTGAGGGACAGAATGGCCCAGAGACTAAAACACTTGTTGCAGAGGAAGTGACTGGGCTGAGGGACAGGTTGGACAGGGAAGATCTTTCTTTCCTCCCCTGTCTCCCTCAAGCATTCATCAGCACAGGTCAACATCATGTATGTGTTCGCTTACTTCATTTGGTACAAATTATTGGTGCCTCTGTGGTCAATGTCATGGCAGAAAGCAGCAGCGAGCATGGCAAAAGCTTCAAGGTCTGTATAGTATTTCTTCAGTCGCCCTGTCTGGAAAGATACACAGAGATGTATTTATGGAGAGCAACACATCTTATACCAGGTGCAACTCATTTGCCTCCGAAGGAGAAGGAAGCCCTCCATATTTCCCCAGTAGATTAGCTTTATTTCTACAGAGTCTCGTGGCATTTGGGTGCAATTCTAAAACCTAGCAGGTAGCTGGATTTTCCTTTTATGAATTTCTGAATGATAATCTAGCCAGGTGATCAGGAAGATTCAGGACCCCGGGATCAGCTGCAGAAGAGCTGGAATTTGTGAGATCATGTCTATAAATGTCAAAGGACAGATCTGGCATGACAAGTCAGATTCATTTCTCGCCATGCTCAAGTGGAAAATATTCAGGGTTACAAAGATTTGCAATGGTTTCCAGAACTCTGTACCTACCATCAGCAAAGTAAACATGGTCTGCCCCACATTGAATCCATGCCGCCAGTTGTGGTAGGTGACTGAGCGGTACCCTTTCCGCACTGTGTACATCCATCTGGTAAGAACCTGTTAAAGGCAACAACACCATTCAGACTTTAGAACAGAATTCGAAACGCTAGGAGGTCTGTGACAAGCTTATCTAAAAAGATATGCCGGTCCTGTTGACAGAGTTTAAGCTGATGTACTTACAAAGTTAATGATAATTTACAATCCAAACCCAGCTAATCTTTTGAACTGCAGAAAACATCAGTGAAGCACAAAAACAGAATCAAACAGCTTTTCAAGGGAAATATCATCTGACCTCTACAGGTACTTTGAATTTCTCCACCACATTTAGCTCTAAAAACAGCCGTAGTCCACATTTAATCAATTCATGCTCTGTGACAGGTAAGTCGCTGAACCGGAATTCATATAGGTCTGCTGTTTTGGGATCTGGCAAGTCCTCTTTCTGTTGAAAGGACAGATTGTTTCAGATTACAATTTTTACCCCTTTATGCCTACATCAAAGGTAAAGAAATAACATGAAGGCCCAGGGAGGTAGCTCAGGGGGGTAAAGATGCTTGCCACCAAGCCTGACAGGAGAGAACTCCTGGTTGAACCAGCCTCTGGTCTCCACATGTGGACCGCGGAGCATGTACACACACACACACACACACACACACACACACACACACACGCAAGCACGCGCACACACACACAGACACACACACACACACACTAAATAGATAACTAGATAAGTAAATGTGAAAAAATTTAAAAGCAAATAATCTGATCAAAGAACCACAGGCAAGTCTGTGAGCCACACTGCCAGCTCAGTGCTTTCTCCCCAGCATGCTGCGGTCTCCTCTCTCTTCCTCCCTCCATCTCCTCCACTGTCTCTCTTTCCCTTCCTCCTCACACCAGCTCAACCCACACAATGAATCCCACTTGACAAGTAAAACTGAGATTCAGTGTCATATTTTGAAACTTTCTAAGTGGTGGGATTTGATTCTAAATCCAATTCTTTCTATAACACAAAATACAGTGTTTACAGCATTCTTACCCATTTCAATACTCCTCATTTTCTACTTAAGAAATACTAAAGAGCAGGCGATTGCTTAACTCGGCTCTCCCATATCTCATGTTTGCTCAGTGATGCTTTCCCACTAGACTGTGAGCTCCACAAGGGCGGGAATCATGCTCTTATCTGCTGCCAAATCCCAGAAGCTCAGTGCTGTTCTATAAGGGCATTCCATAAACCTTTGTTGAATAACACCACAAGATCAGTTGCCCTAAATTATAATTATATTTTAGCAGAAAATAAAGTTCTCAGAATTATGCCTGCCAGGCCCATTTGCAGTCACAGGCAGCTGATAAAACACTACTTTCATACAGGAACCATAGAATTGAATAACCACGGTTTCGAAGTCTGTGGAACAGAGTGACAGATAAGCTCCTCGTTGGGGTACTGGCAGCATACCGGCTCCCAGTGCTCACTGCTTCACAGGAGTCACACAGTTGAGGTCTAAAGACATTGAGGATACTCTGCCAGTCCACGTGGCTGTGACAACCCCTAGCCATGTCTCCTGTCTCCAGTCTAGCTGGTTCTATCTGCTCCTAGTGGGATTCTCTGAACTCTAATCAGTGTGATGGCTGGTCAGTATTGTCCCGCAGGCAGCTTTTCTTGGCTGCTCACTGGTATTCTGGCCATACCCGGCCTCTTTGACTTCCCTGAGGCAGCGTGCTCCTGTCCCAAGGCCTCACTGGGTGTGGTCCTTGCATTCCCTCCCATCTCTAGCTGTCCCTGTCACGGGTCTCTGCCTGGCCAAGATTTGTTTTCCTTTCAGGCCCTGCCATGGCCTCACCTCTAAGGCTGCACTATCTTCTGAACAAGGAATCAAGTTATGGTCCTTCCCAAGCCCACGGCTCATGCTTTATGAACATCCCCATGTGAGACAGGGGCTGTCCTCCCATTCCTATCTCTAACACAATGGGAGCTTCTTGAAGTAGATTGGAACCAGGTCATAGTATATTCTGCCCTCAGCATCTAACAGTTTCTTGTGTTAAGATAGATACATCTCAATCAGTCATTCCTGAATGATTGAAAAAAAAACTCAATAAAGGATGGAATCTCTGCTTCAGGCTCCTCTGCAAATCTCCAATGGCTGGGCATTAACTCTACAGCCTCAGTGAGTGGCCAAAGTGTCCTACAGAGCAGAAGGCAGAAGAGCATTTGTCACCCTGAGCCTGAATCAGAGCACTGCTAAGCAGAGGTAGAACTATACCATCCCAAGAAAGCAAGCGGGCTGAGCCTGCCCAGAATCAGAGTGGAGATGGGTGCATCATTCCTGTTGCTGGAAAATGATGCCAGGATGTTAGATAGCTCCTCTGACACCTGGTTTGCTAAGTTACAAAGTTTCACGTGGCAATAATTTGGGGTTAGTACAGGATGTTTTAGGGAACCCACAATATTCTGCTTGTTTTCCCCACTTCTGCACCACGGAGTTCTTCCTCCTCTACCCAGGCTCACACAGGCCAATCACAGTTTCATTTCACAAGAAGATGCATGTTGTTAAGGGGTGGTGAGAAGGTTCTGGGCCAGGTGTGAGAGTGTTGTGGTGCTCAGGGATGGAGCCCATGAAAAGGAGCAGAGAAGCCCTGGTGACATAAAAACACAGAGGGCGGGCCCCAAATCCTGGACAAGGGGTTAAAGGCCACTGCTCTATGGCAAAGAGTGAAGGGTCAGGATGCAAAGACAGGGACCATAAAAATAGGAAGGGGCAGGTGAGAGTGGGTCTTTTAGAAAGATTAGAAAGAACACTTCCATCACAGATTAAAAAGGGGCAGAGGAAAATGATGAAATGGCTAGAGAGATTGGAATTAAATGCATATTTGAATTTCAGTCAGATAGAATTCAAGTCTCTGGAATTTTGGTCACTATCCCTAGAGTTCACAGGATCACAGAAGAGTTGCATTGTGCATGTAGGGGCTCAACCTCAGTGTCAGAGCAAAATCAAAGACTATCCCGAACTAAATCTAAGACACCTCTCTCCACCTGCTAGAACGCAGAAGCCTCACTCAAAGCCCCTGCATGGTGTTAGTCACAATATCTTGTTCTCAATGAAAAAAAAATCATGAAGCATGCTTTAAAACATGACCAAGAGGCTGAAACCCAAGTATAAAAATTAGAGCGTCGAGAAGCTAGGGAGATAGCTCAGTTGGTAAAGTGTATTCATGAAAGCACAAGGACCTGAGTTTAATCCCGAGTACCCACAAAAAAACCCATGCATGATGGCTTACACTTGTAATTCCAGTGCTGAGAGGCAGAGTAGGGGGATCTTTGGAGCCTAGGATAGTAGGTGAGCCCCTAGTTGGAGATGCTGTCTCAAAAACAAGAGCAATAACAGCAAAACAAAGGTGACGGATCCTAAGAAATGACACTCAAAATTGATCTCTATCATCCTCCTCCTCCTCTTCCTCCTCCTCCTCCTCCTCCTCCTCCTCCCCCTCCTCCTCCTCCTCCTCCTCCTCCTCTTCCTCCTCCTCCTCCTCCTCCTCCTCCTCTTCCTCCTCCTCCTCCTCCTCCTCCTCCTCCTCCTCCTCCTCCTCCCCCTCCTCCTCTCTCTCTCTCTCTCTCTCTCTCTCTCTCTCTCTCTCTGTCTCTCATAGTAGAACCAGACTTAGAGGTGATTCAAGTATTAAGAAGGACTATTTAAGACAAGTATGATCAATACATTTTTAAATAGAAAGATAGTCAAATAGATAAAATGATGAAGTTTCCACACAGAGGTGGAGCTTTAAATTATTAAATTTAATTTCTAGAACTGAAAAAGGCAACCTCTAAAATTAAGGACAAATTTAAGGGATTTAACAGTAAATGGGACAGAAGGAGAGTTGGAGTCAATGAAGTGGAAGAGAAGCTCATTTCACCCAGAAATAACAGCAGTGGCCTGGTGGCCATCACAGCAAATCTCTGAATTCTTCCAGAAGGGAAGTCAACGACAGCATTTGGCCATTGCCCTGAGAAGGTCTGGGCTTAATCACCCTGGCCTGCCCTCTGGGATGGCCAGCCATAATCCAAAGCTGCTAGGCTAAACTCGGCCGTGATATCCCTAGATTCTGGGTCCCTCATGTAGTTGTCTAGGTTAGCTATAATTATAAATCATCTTTGTGAGCTGAGCTATATGGAGCAAAGACAAAGACAAGCAGGAAACCAAAAGATCAGTCTCTGGAAGAAATCTTTCCTTTTAGCTTTAGAAAATGTCAAGGAAGAAAAAAACCCAACATTTACTTGAGAAATGAGAAAGCGTGTTCAAATATACTCTATTAACAATGTGCCAAGATAGGTGGAAACCACTTACCAGCAAGGTGAGAAGCTGTCTTTCTTCACAGTCTTCAATTACACCTACATTTAACTTCTCTTTAAATTTCTATAATGGAAAAACAATCAAGACATGAAATTCCTACAAAAACTTCTGTCTTATCCCTTTACCAACAAAACCAGCTAAGACATATTTAAAACATGTTACATATTTGTTACATGTAAAAACATACTCTGGACACAAAGACACTTATAGCAAGTGAGTATGAAGAACAATACCAAAGAAAAATGGAGTACAGTTGATTTCTCTAGTTCCCCAAAGTGTTAACAGTTGCCATCATAAAACCAAGCTATGGGCTACACGTATACAAGAAATAAAAAGAAAGCTAATGGCTTACATATTTTCTAGTAGCTAAAGGCAGTTTCACATGATTCCCACGTTTTCTCCTCTTTATCCACTCAAACACTTAAGTCAAACGTCTCCTAACTCTTAATGGCCCCAGCTCCACCTCAAACTACACTTATATACACACTCTAAAAGCTAAGGAAATGTCAGAGATACTGGATATATGATACCATCCCCTTAATTTGATGTTAATCAGAAAATCATCAGTAAAAACCCGTTGGCTCCTCCACCCGTCATCCATGATATTGGTCTTGTTCATGTAACTTGTTTTGGTCAATGAGAATTTTAGTGTTTGTGATGTGAGCAAAAACTTAGAGGCACCAAGTGGTTGCTGGTGGTCCACAAAAGATGAGAGGCCATAGAACAAGCCAGACACAGTTTGGAGCCACACTCAGCCAAGGTCGAACAGCCTGTTCAACCCACAGATGCATAACTGTGGGATAGATGCTTATTTCTGCAGGTCATTGAGATGTTACAGTGGTTGTTACACAGCATTAGAGGATAGCAGCTGACTGATACATTGCTCTCCTATTTTTTCCTTCCCAGCATATTTGAATCTAGATGTCACTCCATGTCTACAAACCCAGAAGCTGTTTTTAACAAAGTGCTATTGTATTGTCGCAGCCTGGATTTTCAGGAAGGATAGCTCGCTGGACCACAGAGCTTCTCCTCCCAATCCTCCTCTTCTCCTACACTTAACCTCTTCTCATTGCTCCGAGTCCCACAGGTCAGTAGGTGCTTTCCAGAAGTTGAGATTAAATATTGCCTACTGTCCACAGGACTGGATGCCCCACTTACCAAAATAGACTCAATTTCATCCTGGGTAGCTTTTGTATGGTTCATGAGCATTTCCTGAGCAATATCCTTTCTGTTTTCCAGCTTATTCACTTTCTCATAGGTGTCAGTATTTAAGAGAGACCATCCAAGAAACTGGGTTAGAGTCTGAAATGTTAAAAAAGGTGATTCAGATTCTTTAAAGTTAAACACAAATTGTCTTGCAGGTAGCATCTGCAGGCTTTCCTATGGATGGTCTCCCACCACCACCAACTCCTTTCTTTATATAAAAAAAAGATTTTTATTATTTGAGAATTTCATACATGTATAAATAAATGTATTTTGATCAAATCCACCCCCATTCTGTCCCATCCAATTCTTCCCCCAGTACCACTTTTCCCTCCTAACTTCATACTCTGTTTTTAAACCCACTGAGTCCACTTAGTGCTATCTGTATGTGCCTGGGAGTAGTGCCATCCACCGGAGCACGGGTAGCAGGGGCACATCTCTGAAGAAAACGGAGTCTCCCTTCCCCAGCAGCCATCATTGCCACTAGCTCCTCTGCCAGGGGCAGGGCTTCATAAATGGTGCCAGCCATTTTCTTTACAGCAACATAAGAAACAAAAGGAATTTATTGTCTAGACAATAAAATTGACTAAGCTCTTCTTTTCAAAGTGCCATGCTTCCCAAATATTCTAGTGCAGGAAAGGATTTACAAATAGAATAAAATAAAGTCGAACCTAAAAATTAGAAGGTTGGGGCAAGAGTGGGAGAGGAGAGAAAGAAGGAAGGGAAGAAGACAGGAATCCTCGTTCCTGTTTGTGAAAGACCACAAAGAATTTGGGTTAAGCCAACACTTTATACTTTAATAGAAAATTTTGCAATTTTTAGAAATCTGGAAATAGAAATGTCACAATAATAACATTTTGATTATAACTGTAGGACAAATTTTTTGTTGTTATTTTTGGTTTTGGGGGGTTGTTTGTTTGTTGAGACAGGGAACCCTGGCTGTTCTGAAACTCCCTATGTAGACCAGGCTGGCCTTGAGTTCACAGACCACTGCCTGCCTCTGTCTCCCCTCCATCACCTTTTTAATTAATTTTTTAAAAAGTATTTTATTATTTTTATGTGTATGTGTGTATTGCCTACATGTAGGTAAGTGCACCCATGTCGTGCAATGCCTGTGGAGGACAAAAGAGGCTGTCAGATCCCCTGGACCTAGAGTTACAGACAGCTGTTAGTTGCCATGTGGGTACAGGAATTCGAACCCAAGTCTTCTATAAGAACAGCCAGTGTTCTTAACCGCTGAGCCATCTCTCCAGCCTTCCATCACCTTTTGAACGTCACTCACCCCTGCTACTGGGCTCCAGTGTTTACCTCAGTAATGTGCTCATCATGTTCATCAAAGGCTTTTCCGTCCTTTCTGTTATAAAATGTAGCGACTCCCACAATGTCTTCTTTCTTATTGACAATAGGCAGGGACAAGACGTTTTTAATGACCCAGCCGGTTTCATCTACTGGTCCTTTCTATAAACAGTAAGGGAACTGAGGTTACTTTAATTCTTTTACGTTTACATTTTAAAACTGTTATAGATTTATAAGATGTTTCAAAAGAAATGTGTGAAGTCCTGTGGACTCTTCACGCCATTTCCACCAATGGAAGCATCTTATGAAACTGTAGTACACTATCAAGCCCAGGAAGCAGACAACGTACAACCCACTGACCTTATTCTGTTTTCACCAGATTTATATATGTGCATTTCTGATTGTGTGTGTGTTTGTCCCTTATGGAGACTGCCAACCACTATTAGAATCAACAGAAATAGTCCATTACCATAAGGTACCTTCTACTGCCCCTTGACACCCACCCCTACCCACTTGCCATTTAGTTTATTTTTAAGTGAATCTTTGTGTCAGAACATGACTAGCAAAAATACTATGATGTCCATCCAGATGTTCCAGAACTAGAATCAGCTGTCTGTGTCCTGACACCTTAACTTTCCCCTTGTACCCTAGCCCTGGAGGTGGAGTTCCATACCCTTATGTTACCTTGATGTTTCTTTTCACTTTATCTGTCTTACAGTATTGTTTAATTAATGTCTTATATTAAATTCTCCCTGTTGTCATTCTTAGATAAGTTCTGTATTCCTGACTAATCCCTCAAGATAGTCTTTGTTGAGTTTAGAAACATCTGTGAAGATCCTATGATATACCAAGAACTAGGCCAGTTGTTAGTTATGAGAATGAGTAAACCACAGGCCCCATGTCAAGATGCTTGTATCCCAGTGGCAGGGAGTTCAGGAGTGGTTCTAGAAGTGTGACCCAAGGACCATAGGGCAGCAGATTTTAAAAAACATTTTATTTTTATGTTATTATTTTTTAATTGTGTGTATATGTGTCTCTGTGTGGGTTTGTGCAAATGAGTACAGTGCTCACGAAAGCCAGAAGAGGGCATGGGATCCCCTGGAGATGGAGTTACAGGGCACTTGTGAGCCTCCCAACATGCATGCTGGCAATCCAACTTCGATCCTCTGGAAGATCGATACAAGATCTTAACCACTGAACCCTTTCTCCAGTCCCTGAAACAGATTCTTTTCAGCCCGCTTCATAGTCCCTGGGAATGCATCTTAAACAAGCTTCCTGGGCAATTCTGCTGCCCTTGCAAGTAAGTGGACCACAGTGTGCATTTGCACAGTCTGTGGCTAAGGCAGAGGGAGCCAAAGACTCAGCACACCACACCGGTAGTCCGCTGAGCTTCTTGTGGTTTGTTTAGTCCTCCACTGAGGCTTAGGTTGCGTGTTGCCTCACCTATGAAGTCTTCTCGACTTTTCTAACCCATATGCAACTTGCATTTTCCAGAATTCCAACAGCACCTATTGCCTGAATCTCACAATTTAGCACCTAGATATTTTCTAGATGCTTCAGAATTGTTGGGTTTGGTCTCTGAGGTTGTCTTCTAAACATATCAAAGGCAGTGACTATTGCATAAACTACTAAATTCCGTGTAAGTAGTGGAAGAGTGCTGAACATATAATCGTCAATAAATTATTGATTATGGAAACAAATAGTACAAACAGCTTGTTTATTATATATTACTAGTCATTGTTTTTGGAAGGAAAAACAAAGAAACTAAACCTCACTTTATGGTTCCTAATGGTCAAAGCTTTAGAAAAAGGATGCAATGCACAGTGTCCTCAGGGATCCATGCTTGGAAAACAACAGAAATTCAGATTCTTAAATCATCATATGGACTAGGGACAAAATCACTAACAGGGCATATGTCACATGTATGCAAAATTACAGCCTTAAGCTGTGTGTGTGTGTGTGTGTGTGTGCGCGCGCGCGCGCCTGTGCATGCGTGCTAGTGCTAGGAATCAAATCCAAGGCTTTGCATATATTAGGGGAACACTTTACTTATGAACTACATCCCCAACCCTCATGTGTATTTCTTTTTTAAAAAATATTTTTTATTTATTATTTTTATTTTATGTGTATGAGTGTATTGCCTGCCCGCATGTATGTAAGTGCACCTGTGTTGCATAATGCCTTCGGATATCAGAAGAGGGCATCGGATACCCTAGAACTGGAGTTATGAACAGTTGTTAGCCACCATGTGGGTACTGGGAATTGAACCTGGGTCCACGGCAAGAGCAGTCAATGGTCTTGACCGCTGAGCCATCTCTTCAGCCCCATGTATATTTCTTAAACCTTCCAAAATAAGCTTTACAGACTGCTTCTGAATACTTTATTTGCTTCCTGTTAGTAGTCATTTGGTTTGCAATTACAGCTTTTGACAGCAAAGTGAGAGAAGAAATCTAAGATTCAGAAAAATTAGTAGGACAAAAACTTACGATGGAGACAATTTTATGCACTCTCCCTCCTCTCCTTGTGAATTGAGGTCACTTTAAAGGAAAGATCCCCTAGTCTGCTCCAAAGAACACTGGAAGACAGAACAATGACTTCTGTAGTCAAAGACGTCTACATCCTAATCTCCAGAAGCTGCGAACGTGATCTGTCACAGTTGATGGAATTAAAGTTACTGATCAGCTAACCTTAAGATAAGGAAATCACCCTGGATTTCCAGGTGGACCTAATGTAATAACAAGGAACCTTAAAAATAGTAATGAGAGCAGAGTCTGAATCACAGAAAGAACATATGACACAGCAAGGTCTGAGTGTGCCCTGGTTGGCTTGGAAGTCAGAAGGCAGTATGAACCACGGAATCCCAGCAGTCCCCAGGAGCCAAAGAGGTGGGAAGAAAGGAGACAGCTTGTCCCATAGAGCCTTCGGAGAGGGGCACAATCCTCTAACACCTTGATTTTAGTGCAGTACAAGCCATTCTACACCTCTGACCTGCAGAATTCGAGGCTGACACCTACTGTGCTGCTCCCAGCAGTAAGGGGTGATCTGTTATCACAGCAGTAGGAAACACACACGTTGTGATTCCAGGGAACAGTTTGCAGGGAACAGGTCTTTGCAGGTTTGCTCTGATAATTGTTAATTTTTGATCTTTGGCTTTTTCATCAAACATTTTCAGGCATAACAGAGAATGGTGGGAGTCAGGGTGGGACATGAGCAGGTAGAAGAGTGGGAAAGCAGAGGGTGACAGGAGGGTGGTGTTTTGGGAATGGTAGGTGCCTTATCCCATGTCTGCTCCAGGGAATGATGCCCAGGGGATGGCTGGGAGGGGAAGTGAGGAGAGGGCAGGAGAAAGCTGTTAGATAAAGACATGGTCCTACCTAGGTTAAAGAGAAGAGGATGGATGCAAAGGTGAGTAGAATCACCATAGACCAAAGTGCAGGGCTAGCAGGGTTTCCTAAGTCAGTGCTGGCCACCAGTAGAGTCTGGTTGTCTCCTAGGATGGGCTTGCCATGGTCAGTCATTGGCTAAGAGACAGGGCATTGAATACACAACTGCAGAGCACAGCAGACCCGGGACAGTTGGAGCTCTGACAAGTACACTTTTATGGGTACTACACTGAGGTTTGCTGAGGATCTGGGGGATCCCTATGGACGAGAGGTTTGTCCCACCACAGGGACTCCTGAGGCCCTGGGGAAGTCCCAGGCTCTTCCCAAGATGATCAGAAAGGCCACCCCCTCTATGTCCTTGCTCTTGCAGGAGCCACAGTGAAACTCGAGAGAAAGCACAATTCCTCAAACCTCAGTGATCACCTGCTTGTCCTGGGTGAGCTTCATCCCTGCTTTCTGCTTCTACAACAGCTACTTGAGGCTCAGACACTCAGAGAATCACTATCCCCTTCTCCTGTCTGTGCAGTCTGCCCTGGCACATAACTACTATAGATTCAGGAGCCAGGGCTGGGCAAACATAATCACAAGCAGGCTTTGGTTGCAGGAAGGAAGGAAGGAAGGAAGGAAGGAAGGAAGGAAGGAAGGAAGGAAGGAAGGAGAACTAACAGAAGCATAGAGTGTTTGTATGTTTCCACATCAGTAAGCAAAGGATAGGCAGGCAAAGCCAGGGGAAGCCTCTATGTAACCAAGCAGGTATGTCTGGGTTTCCCCAACATCTGGTTTAGTTTGCTTCTGGGACTAAACCACTCACACCATGAGGAAGCTGGCTTTTCCACGCAGGCGTTGATGTATGTTTGGGTGGCGCAGAGAAAGGCAGCCATCAGCAGTGTTTACTGGAGAGATGGGTCTCCTGACCCAGATGAGGGCTCTAATGTTCATGAACACAGTGCAACAAATGCCAGTGTGTAGAGAGGAGAGGCTGTGGTATTCTGTTTAGCAACTTCATCTACTTCTGCACAAGGGCTAGAAAGGGCTAGCAGAGATGACAGATGGTCCTTAGAGAGAATTAAATGAAGCTGGAAAGGGGAAGAAGAGCCCTGAAGTCCTCTAATTGTCTGCCTCATCTCTTTTCTGTTGTTGTAAGAGAATACCATAGGCCTGGTAGCTTATAAAGAAATGCATATTTCTCACAGTTATGGAGGCTGTGCTTCACAAGCTGGGAGGGGCTCCTTGCTGCATCATAACACAACCAGGAGCATCACAGGGTGAAAGGGCCTGACAGTGTCAGCTTGAGTCTCGCCCCCTCTCCTCATAAAGCTATGAATGTCCTGTGCTTACTGACTCACCCTCATCTATCTCAAACTACTTCTCAAAATATTCAACAACCTGAAATACCATCAACTTGAACTTAGGGATTAAAATTTCAATATATGAACACTAAGGGGACACATTCAACCACAGCAGCTGTGACAATAGGAAGAAGTGGGTTATCTAGGCCAGCAAGCACAGTGGGTTGGTTTAGGGACTCACCGTAGTGAGTGGAGGTAGATTCTCCAAAAAGTGAATCTCTGAATATTGAGGGGAGATAAAATCCAGGGACCCAATAAGAGCTTTTCTTTTGTAGATTCAGTTACAGTATGCTACAGGAAGAGCTGCTGAGAAAGCCACCAGTGGGGCTGGATTCAAACCATACAGTGCCTCCAGCGAATCATTCACACAAACATGGGCTATAGAGCACTAAATGTGTGTCAGGCTCAGTTGTTACCACTAGAGAACCACGAGTGGGAGAGAATGGCAGTATGGCACCCCACCTCTCTCTCATCTTTCTCCTCTCCAGTCCCTTCTTCCTTCACTAAGAATCTGCTTCTCAGCGGCCAGTGGTCCAGCCAGAGGAATAGGACTTGGGCCATGTGTGTGCCTGCTGACTACACCTACAGCACGTATGGATAGCACTCTCTGGACAAAGGGGAAGAGAAAGCACCCACCCCATCCATCCATCTATCATCCATCACCTAGTCCTGAGAGATGAGGCAGGGCCAGGGTTGCCCTTACCTGAAATGTGAAGTACTCGTCTGCAGGGGCATTCAGCATGTTACAGATCTGTGAAGCAAAAAGAGACAGAATCCTTCTGAAATATCGTGTGGTGGGGTCACATAAACCCACAGGGGAGGAGAAGAAAGGACACATTGGGTATGAGAGTTTCCCACATAGCTTTTGGCGGCTTGATAAACAAATCATTCACGCAGGCCGTAGATTAGGCCACACTTGCTCAGCTCATTGACTTTACCTCCTCTTCTGCTAAGTCATAACTGACATTTATATCTTGTCTGCTCCTCCCCACTCCCCTACCTCCATGGAATGCCCTTCAACTTCAAAAAAAATAGCTCCCCAGGCCAAGCTGAGGAGAAAGCTAAACAGAAAGGCTGATCTGCTGAGGCAAGTGTGAGCATGGCTTCTGGGGTTCCTTTCTTTCTTTCTTTCTTTCTTTCTTTCTTTCTTTCTTTCTTTCTTTCTTTCTTTCTTCCTTCCTTCCTTCCTTCCTTCCTTCCTTCCCTCCCTCCCTCCCTCCCTCCCTCCCTTCCTTCTATAAAGTCAAATCAAGATAAAAAGAAGGTGGGTATGGGCCAAAAGAAAAATGTCAGATAACTTTTTAGTTGCTCCAAGGTAAGGGTTCCCTCTAAGATATCGCTGTTAGTACTGGAATTCAGAGGTTATTTCTTATATCCATTTTGAGTCATTCCAAATCATCTGTACCTGGGGTCATATGCACAAATGGCTCTTAATACAAGATCATATTTTTCTTTCCACCAAAGTTGCATTAGATGCTTAAAATGATAGCATGTTGGGCTAGAGAGATGGCTTAGTGGTTAAGAACACTGGTTGTTCTTGCAGAAGACCTGGGTTCGAATCCCAGCACCTACGTGGCAGCTAACAACTGTCTGTAACTCCAGTCCCAGGGGATTTGACAGCTTCTTCTGACCTCCACGGGCATTGCACAACATGGGTGCACTTACCTACTTGTAGGCAATACATGCATATACATAAAATAAAAATAATAAATAAAAATTTAAAAAATGATAGCATGTTAAACCTGGATGGTAATGACTAAGTAAGTCACTCACTTGCATGGTATTAACATTCCCACTATAGGAGGCTCAAGTTGCCACCTATTTAACTATCTGCTCACAAAATTTCAGAAACTCTTTGCTTTTGAGGGTTTTTTTGTTTTTGTTTTTGTTTTCTCTCACGGCTCCAAGCTCTGTCAGCCCCAGGGCCCATGGTGTTTTCTAAGAGTAGTTGAAATGCATCAACTATTTTTACTCTTACAAACCAAAATGTGAAAATCTTTCAAAGTTTTGGCTTATTTAATTATGTATGTTTTTATTTTATTCTTTGAGATTGGTTCTCCTTGTGTAGCCCAGGCTGGCCTGGAACTAGCAATCCTCCTGCCTCAACCTCCCAAGTGTTGGGATTATAGGCAGGTACTACCACACCCAGAATTTTGCTATGTTCTATGAGCATTTATAATTTAAGAACTTGAACAATATTTTGTGCCATCCTTTAATTTCATGATCTAACTTGAATGTTCGACATTATTTCATGGACTAAGGATCCCTCAAGTATGGTTTTAACATCGCAAAAACCAGCTGATTCCTTTTTTCTGGCCTTTCTTTCATGGACATGTTTTTTGTCCCATGTTTTGAGGCTTCAAGAGAACATTTGTCACCAGATTAAGATCATGAAGGCATTTGAGGTAGAATTAAACTGATTATGAGTCATAGTCACTAGCTTTGAGTATCAATGACTTTAAAAAGATGTCTGAAATGTTTGTGGCTTCAGAGTAAGAGGCTGAGAAATGGATGAATCTTCCTCATGTTGACTAAATATTTTCATATGATTCCAAAGTCCAGGTTAACCTACATTGTCCTACCTAGATTATGCCAAAGAAACTGATCAACCCACCTATCTCATGCATTCTTTTTTGTTTTTTGTTTTTAAGACAAGGTCTCCCTGTAGCCCCAGTTGGCCGGGAACTCTCTATGTAGACCAAGCTGGCATCGATCTCACAGAGACCTGCCTGCCGCTGCCTCCCAAGTGTTGGAAATTAAAGGTGTTTATCACCCCAGTTTCCCTATCTCATAGCAGTGAACAGGGAAAACCCTCAGACCCTCTCAGTTTTATGCACTGCTATTTAGCATTTAAGTTTGTCCAATAACTTACAAATCCATTTTCAGCAACGTATGTTGGCAATCCACTAATAAATGTCCAGTGGTCTGCAGGAGGTGACCTTGGATAAGATTAGAAGAAAAATCATTGTTATATGTAGAAATGCATTGAGTGCAAAAATCAAGGCATAACTCCCATGACTACTTCCTGGAACACTCACGGAATCACTTTGATCTCTTCTTTTCCATGTAAAATGTAGTCAATTACTTTATAAAAGACAATTTCCTAAGAGAAAAATATTATGAGTCTAGTATTATTTCCCAAAGAAAATAATTTTCATTGAAAACTTTGTGCTTTAAAATTCTTATAACCAGCACTTGATTTCTCAGCAAAGGCTTTCTGTATAACATAAATAACTAAGCTATTCATTTACTACTTACAAGCTTGTAGTAAAGTCGGAAATAGTATTGATTGCATATATTCATTAAGAGTAGATTAAGTTTCATTTTAAGAAGTTGAATTAACCCAATGAGTTTGGGGGGAAATCTGACTATCAAATCACCAGCTACTCTGCTTTTATGTTTAACTGATTGCTTTTTGTTGTCCAGAAATAGCTGACATTAATAACTTCATTAGAAAAAAGACTCAACCCTTAAGCGCAAGCAGATGCTTGTAGTGGACAGCTCATCTCTCATTTGCTTCTCTGAAGAGGTGCCTTCAAAACAGAGGTCAATGGGTCCATTCTCAACATTGGAAGGGACTGGGCATATGAAGAACTTGAGGCCTGAACAAATGCATCAACTTCCATTTGAGAATGCAGTGGTGGAGAAGCAAACTTGTTTCCTGCCTCCTTGAAACTTGCCGATGAGTGTGACAGTAAACCTAACACAGCCTGAACCTGGAGTTCCCCATTCTGCAAGGCTGAAGAAAGACCCAGGCACTTCTTCAAAAGTTATGACTCTGATGCCTCCCTCCCTGCCTAGAACCACTCACCCACCAAGCTCTGGCTTTATGGAAAAGGAATCAGAGAGGTTAAATGAGTTATGTCTACCACACTGGATAGGACAGAGCTGGGCAGGGTCCCCCTGATGTTTCTTTCCACTATGTACTGCAGTCTCTTAGCACATACTACATGGCACCAAATGCAGCACTGAGGAGGATATGTGCATTTACCCTTCCATCTGGTGTCTTAGGTCCTTTATAAGGTTCAACTTCTCCAAGCTTGATTGGCCATTCATCATAGAATTCCTGGAGGCAATTAAATTTAAACAGTAGTAAACGAGCTGTCCCATGACCTTCCATATCTTATCTGAATTTTATGCACTTGTATACTTCATGCTACTCTACAAAGTTCTAGAATTTTAGGCCTAAGAAACTGTAATTTCCAGCAATACTGCTTATGAGCCTGTAGCTGTGTACAAGTTGTTTAACCTTTATTGCTCCATTAAACAGGGATGACACAACAGTTAGAAGGCTGTTGCGAGGATTACATGAATAATGTATGCCAACCACCTATTACATTCGCAAATAGTTCAAAGCACCTTGTTTTATAGATAACTGTTCTCCAGACATCTGAACTAAACCCAGGTGGAATGGGACACTTAGATACCAATGTCAACTGCCTTATTTAACTCTCAGTCTCCCCTTCTTGTTAGCAGAACTAATATGGTTTCATTTGTGTACTAAGTGGCAATTGCTCAGGGAACATGAGCCCTGCCCAGCCCCTAAGAGGTCTATAGGAAGTGCTTAGATTAGTTCAAGGGCGTGTATATGGCTCAAGAGGAGAAGTCTGCTGAGGGGCTACTGGAGTAAGGTGATCTGAGGGTGAAAATTGATGACAATGGCATGCCCTTGTAGCAAAATCATCCTAATCATATCCTCCTCTATAAAGTACCAGAGCCAGGGGCTGAAGCCCTGTTCACCTGGTCCTGTAGCTTTAGAACTTTAGAACAATGACTCTGAAAAACAACTGCCAACCATGTGAACAGTAAGAAATATAAATGAGGGGCTGGAGAGATGGCTCAGCGGTTAAGAGCACTGACTGCTCTTGCAGAGGACCGGGATTTGATTCCCAGCACCCACATGGTGGCTACGAACTGTCCTTAAGTCCAGTTCCAGGAGAATATGAAGCCCTCTTCTGACCTCCGCGGCATTGCACGACATGGGTGCACTCACATACATGCAGGCAATACACTCATACACATAAAATAAAAATAATAAAATATTTTTTAAAAAGAAATATAAATGATATAGTGTCAGTTATATTGAAACCCCAGACTCCAACAGAATTAAAGATGAGGAATGGGCACTATTTTGCAAATTATATTGAAAATGTCTTCATTTCTATTTTAAGATAATTTATGTTTTTCAGAATACAAAATATCAAATAAGTACTAACATTTATTATGTACCTACTATGTATTAGAAACTTCATATTATCTCAGATTTTCATAGATGATAAACTTAGTTTTCTGATGAGAAAGCCAAGAACCAGGAAGGTTAAAAACCTGCTGAAATGGAGAATGTCAGAGAGCTGACAGTACCTGACTTCAAGCCTTACTTTAAAGTTATAGTAACCAAGGCATCATGGTATTGGCAAAAAGAGAGACAAATCAATAAGTGGAGAAGACTGGAGAGAGCCAGACCTGCACAAACATAATCAATTGATCTTTGGCAGAGGAGCAAAGGCCACAGAGAAAAGCCAATCTTTTCAACAGATTGTGTTGGAACAAAAAAACACTCACAAACACCACAAAAAGAAAGAAAGAAAGAAAACGCCAAAGGAAAAAAAAAAGAAGCCCCCTAAAGATCTTATTTCTTCATTAAAAAAATAACTCAGGACGAATTACAGGCCTAAAGATAAAACACAAAACTATAAAAATTCTAGAAGGTGTCATAGGAGAAAATCTAGGTGAACCTGAGTTTGTTAAGACTTTTTTTTGACACAATGCCAAAGCACAATGTATAAAAAAAAATATTGGACATTATTAAAATTTAAAACTTCTAGCCAGGCATGGTAGTGCACGCCTTTAATCCCAGCACTTGGGAGGCAGAGGCAGGTGGATCTCTGTGAGATTGAGGCCAGCCTGGTCTACATAGTGAATTCCAGGTCAGCTGGAGCTATAGGGAGACCCTTTCTAGTAAACAAACAATAAAACAGGTGCTGGAGAGATGGCTCAGAGGTTAAGAACGCTGACTGTTCTTGCAGAAGACCCAAGTTCAAATCCCAGGACCCACATGGTGGCTAACAACTGTCTGTAACTCCAGTTCCAGGGGCTCCAATGTTCTCTTCTATCCTCCACAGGCACTGCATGACATAGGCGTACTTACACATAAGTAAGCATAACATTCTTACACATAAAACAAAAATAAATAAATCAAAAAGTATTTAAAACAAAACTAAACCAAAGAAATTGAAAACTTCTCTGTAAAAGTTGCAAGCTGCTCATAAAGGAGTGAAAAGATATTCCACTGACTGGGGAAAAGTATTTGCAAAACAAATATTCATAGAGAACTTTTGATATCCAAAATATGCAGTCTTGCTATGCTGCTCAGACTTGGACTCCTGAGCCTGCCTCAGCCTTTTGATTGCTGGGATTACCACATCTGGTTGCAAAGAACTCTTGACACTGAGCTATAAGAACACAACTCAACTTAAAAAATTGGCAAGATATCTGAACAGACATGTCATCAAACAAGATATACAAATGACAAGCAGACATATGAAAACAATGTTCAACATTACATGTGATCTGGGAATTGCAAATTAAAACAACAACGATACACCACTGCATCTCTGAAAATGACTAAAACTCAAAATTCAGGTACTTCTAACTTCTAGTGAGGATGCAGATATACAAAATGATAGTCATTTGGGAGGACAGGCTCGTGGTGCTTTATGAAGGTACAGTTTCACCATGTTGTACAGCAGTTGGCCTTTTGGGTATCTACTCAAGTGAGCTGAAAATATGTACACACAAAAGACCATGCAATGTCTTTGGCAGTTTTCCTCATAATTACCCCAAATTAGAAGCAACCAAGCTATCCTTCAATGTGAGAAACCAACTACTATACAATAGACTATCATTCAGGAACAAAAGGTAAGGAGTCAACCTAAGTGTCTATCAGTGAATCAATGGGTAAAGAAAATGTAGAATATCTGAAGAGTGAAATACCGTTCAGCCTTTATAAAAAGAAACTAATGTGCCATTTAAGACAGTGTGACTAAGCCTGGAGCACTATCTGAGAGAAATGGGCCAGGCATGGAAAGACATACATTGCATGATTTAACCTACAAGTGGAATCTGAAAAAAAAAAAAAAAAGCCAAACTTAGAGAAGTAGAGAGTAAAACACAGCTGCAGGAGGCTGGGCTTGGGTAGTAGTCGGGAAGGATAAGGGAGGATGTTACATGCTACAATGTTCCAGTGAGGCAGTAAGTTTGCAAGAGTTATTATAGGAAAACAGGGCCATGGCTAATATGCACTGTCTATTTCAAAACTGTCAAAAAACTAGAGTTTAAAAGTTTTCACTATGTAAAGTGATCAGTGTTAATTATTTTGATATAACCATCCCACAAGTTATGCGTATGTGAAAAATATCACACTGTATCTCATAAATGTGTGACTGTCACTTTTTTTAATTTTAGGAAATTGATTTTTTTAAATGAGCATCCAAAAAATTGGGCATGGTGGCACATGCCTATAATTCCAGTGCTCATAAGACTGAAGCAGGAGGATTGTCATGAGTTTGGGGCTACCTGGACTATATAGTGAGTACTCGGCTAGCCAGTGCTACATAGTAAGACATTATTTTAACAAGAAAAAAAAGCACAGTAGAGCAAGAATACAAGAGAGCCAAGGATCAGGTCAGTCAGGTTTTTGAACCAATACCTCCACCCTGCTCTCTCCCTCCACATCTATCCAATCTGTGTTTAACATTCAAGGTCATTTTAGCAGACCATGTCCATCCTTCTTTGTTCTTGTGCTATATTGCTTTTTCCTTCATTCTTTCCCTCCTCCCTCCATCCTTCTGTCCCTCCATCCTTCCCTCCTTTCATTCTTTCCTTCCTTTCTTTCTTCCCTCTTCCCTTCCTCCCTCCATCCCTCCTTCCCTCTTCCCTCCCTCCTCCTTCCCTCCTCCCTCCCTCCTCTCCTTCCTTCCATCTTTTCTTTTTTCTCTTTTTAAAAAACTTCCTCTCCTTATTCTTTCCTTTCACTTTTTCCTCTCCCAAACAGCATCTGCCTGTTTTGCAGTGTCCCTGTGCCTCAGCCTCCTGACAGACAGGACTGTTCTGCAGTATCTGATAGCATATATTTACCTCTCTTCACTCTATCTTTAGACAAATTGCCTCATCTCTTTGACCTTTGCCTCTATATTTCCTCCTCCTGTTTCCATTTCTTTCCTACTTTTATTATCATCCCAAAACCAGTCATTAGTCTGTGTGTTTTCCTTCGTTCACTTTTTATTTTCTTTCTATTTATACCCACAATAACTAATACGTCAGCGCACATAGTATTATCAATATCCCTTTCCTCCCTAAAATGATTAGCATCTAAAGGGGTGAGTGTCATATAGTTGACTATTGCTCTATTTTCATGGTGGGTCTACTGTTGGATGTGACTGTTGTGAAGGAGGGCTGGGAATAGAGCTTGGTGCCTTGAATACAAATCTTACAGAGGAAAATTATACCAACCTTACTATAGCTTCATCCCTCCTGAATATCACAGACACAACTGAAAGAAGAAAGGTGACCTGACCTAAATTCAACCAACTATCTAATTCCTGATGCACAAATCCCAATGAGTTAGGGAATAGAAAAGCCAAATTTTAAGCCCCTGTCATTTTTGCTGCAAATCACACACATTTATCTCTGTGCCATGCCCTTTTGGCACTAGTTCTTGTTATCAATCATGACTGATTATTCACACAGTGCATCCATTTTTCAATGGATCATGTTTCATTTGGTTTGTATTTTCTAGGTGATCTGAGGGAAGACAAGGCATATGAACACTGAAAACCTTCTCTTTGGTCATGTCCAGCAGTCCAATGGAGTACCGTTCACAGTTCAGATATGTTCTGACTGTGTACAGTGCTTTGTGAAATTGTCGCTCGACATCTGTGAGCTCTTCAAACACTTTATTGGCAGACCACATGAGGATCTGAAAGTGAGTATTAAAAAGAAAACAGAACAAAACACATGAGAGAGAGAGAGGGAGAGAGAGAGAATAAATTAGTTCAAGGAGAACATGAAGTGTATCAAAATGTATACATATCACTAGAAACTGCAGTTCTATTTTGAACCTCCAACAAACCTCACAGCTTCTCTAAATAGGATGATGAGCAGATCTTTGTAAGGCCATGGGTTTATAAAAGGGGAGAATACATGATTGGTCTCCAATGTCCAATGAGCAAGTGCTCTCTAATCGGATGTATAGAAAGTTCCTATGCAAACGTTGGTTCAGTATTAGTGGTCTATTGGCTGCCACTGATCCTTTCGGGTAGAAAGTCACACGACTCCTCCATGCATCTATAGCTGGTCAGAGCTAATCTGACCTGGAAAGTTGGAATGAGAAGGGACCTTAGAAGCCATTCATGCCAGTACCCACTTCTATATTATACAGATGGGGAATCTGAAGGTCCTGACTAGGAATATTACTTTCTATTCCTCTGCCTCATGCAAACAATGAACCACAAAAGAACAATTTTCTCCTAAAGTTACCCATGAACAAAGAGCTTTAAGTGAGAACTAATGACTCTTTGGTAGCCATTCCAACCATATAAGATAGATTCAGTAATTATCATCACTACATCATAAGTGAAGAATTCACACCCAGGACTAAGGCTGAACAAGTCAAGCCAGTTGAAAGGAAGGGAGGACAGGCCACAAAGGAACCCCTAGGACTAAAGTCTGGGGATCTGCTCCATGTGGCTTAAGCCCCTATGAAGGATAAAAGGGGTCTGACTTGTCGCTTTGCCTCCCCTTGTCAGAACAGGTGAGCATGGAGTGCCTACTGTCACCTTCTGTTACCTGGCTTCTCCGGGACTCCACACTGTACAGGTAGCTGGTGTGCTGTAGCTTTAGGGTGACAGAAACAAAGCTGAGGTACTTGGAAAAGACCTACAGGCCACAAAGAGGAACAAATTATGGTTGTGATACCTTCCTTAGTTACACAAATTTACTTCCCGTGTGTCTGGTTGGATGCCAGGGTTAGTTAGCATTACCTCCTCATCCTGTTTGGAAAACTCAGGAGCACTGACTTTGTTCACTGCCATGATCACAGCAAGGACCTCCTTGCCCATCACAATTGGGGTTGCCAGTAAGTTTCTCGTGACATACCCAGTTTGCTTGTCCATGAAGTCAGAAAAATGGCTGTTCTGAAAAACATATCCATGTGTTTTCCAAAATAGCACGGAATCACACAGCTGTAGATCTAAGACTTTCTCTCTAATTGAAATCCTACCAATATGTGACAGAGGTCTTAGGACAATGATTCTAAACAACCCCCTGATGCACACATGTCATTCTATGATGGCATAGAATGAATCTGTCCATTTTGGAATGCTCATTTCCCATCTGAGCAGAGGCCTATCTAGGTTAGGCTGAGGTTGGACAAAAAGGGAAGAGGTGATGTCACAACTTGGTGGAAAGTGAGGTGCTAAGAAGGGAGAGTCACAGCAGACAGTATGTTCAGGGAGGAAAGCCTCATGAGATCATGGCCATCATCCTCTAACTGCAAATTCAAAGCATACACTCGAAGCCAGCCAACTCCTACATGTAGTGTAACATAAAGAAAAAAAATCGATAGTCCCCTAAATGCTTTCCAGTATCTCCCACTTGAGGAATTAGGTGTTGACTGTATGCTGATCTCCTTTCTTTGTGCTTAGACAAAGGTGTCTTCATTTTTTATAAGTATTCCTTTTCTAATTTTAATTGTGATACTTTTGTGGTTTTTCATCTAATGCACTTTCCTCCAGAGAGAGGTATGTTGCTGTGAGCTCTTGTCTTCTATTCTAATTTTAGTTGTGATACTTTTGTGGTTTTTCATCTAATGCACTTTCCTCCAGAGAGAGGTACATGGCTGTGAGCTCTTGTCTTCTATTCCTGCACACAGCACTCCACACTACAGTTGCTCTGTGATCTCTTGACTGTCCTCTGCTGACCAGCCTGTTCACAGTTTCCCTCACTTCAGACAACATAACACCAGTTATTCTTGCTTTTGTTTTTAATCAGATGGATTTTCAAAGTGGAGACCCCTTTGGCTGGAGCAACAGGTTATATGCAGTTTTTATTTTTGCACAGTCATTTATGAAACATTAAAATTCTTGCCTCCCTCGATTGTATGAGATCATCTTGCCAATATGACACCAATGTTCTACCAAGCTAAGATCGTCTGTTCACAATTTTTTATTTCTTTTGAAAGGAGACAAGATGGTGGACCTTTGTAGATAGAACCTCCTACAGCAAGTGGGATTCTAATGCCCCAGAATGGCAGGGCTGGATGTGAGTCTGCAGAAAGACGCAAAGTCAAAGGCCTAAGAAGCAGTCAGAGGAGGCAGTTACCACACGCACTGCCATCTCAGGGAATACCCATTCTACACGGATGAGGCTCACAGGCCCAAAATGGATGTGGTATTCCTTTCCTAAATTAAACAGTTTTCACTTCTCTTGATCATACTTCTAAAATCAGAACAGACCACAGAGGCTGGAATTTATCTAGCTTTCCAAAGTGAAAATGTGAGAGAGAGTTCATTGGTGTATGATTTCCAGGCTAGAATTCTCAGCAGAAGCCAGGGCTGCCTGGCTGATGGCTCTCACAGTTAAGTCTGAGCAACGGTTTCTAGCTGTGCCGCAGATCCTTATTAGATCAACTGGATTCCAAGACCTCATTGTAACCTGTGGCATCCTAGTATCTGTGTTCCCCAGGAATTGTGGCTTTAAAGTGTTCCAGATAATTTTGATGTTAACTCAGTGTTTAAACGACTGCTTCAGGGGATCCCTGGAAATTGGAAATTGGTCTACTCATAACACAAATGCAGGACTCTGGGGGTAATTAGGTGTCTTTTCTTACTGGGATTTCTTCTATTTCCTTCCCAAAGTGGAACCGTCAACATCATTTCTTTTGGAGGCCCATCACTTCTTTTGACTGAACATGGGGATCTCAAAGGCCAAAGAAGGCTGTTTCCCAGTTAAGCTGGGTTGAGTATGCTGCCCTACCCATTCTCCTCTTTCTGGTCCCAAGGAAGGTGAGAGTGTAACAGCAGTGTGTAATGGAGAAGGTTCTAGAATCAAGCTTTCTGGGCTGAAACCAGATCCCAATTTCCTAGCTTTCTGAGGCTATGCTACCCTTTGTGTCCTTGTTTTATGATCTAAAAGTGTGAGAATGATACTGCTTTACTGCCTAGAGTTCATGGCGTAAAAGTGGAACAGTATGGTATAGACAGAGCTAAAGTGTTTGACACATACCAGATGCTAGAGAAACACTGAAAAGAGAAGCATGGAACTTTGGGGGCCAGCTCAGATGAAAAGTCGTTCCCTTTTGTAGTTACCATGTTGCTTCTAGTCCTAGCTTTTCTAACCAGTTCTAGTCTCTGAAGAAGTCAAATGCCCTTTGCAGGATACAGGCATCCTGTGGCCAGCAGCATCCCTCCTCCAGGGACCAGCACTCAGCCCTCCACCACGATGAGCCACCGTTCTTTACTAACTGATTTTTCTGTTATCTGCTTTCCGTAGCATCTTTACCCTCAAGCCAGGATGTCTCCAGACTTCTTTAAATTATTTCTCTTAACTTGCTGCTTAAATCCTGTTCCCTTCCATCCTCTTATCCTTTACCTATCACGACGGCTTTCAAGTATACAGGAGTCCTGGGTACTAAAAGAAAGAGTGAAATCCTGGAAATGTGCACCAGGAATTGGAACCAGACAGAGTTTCTTTCCAAATACATTTCATTTTTGTTACTACTTTATTTTAGATTCTAAATACAAGCGTGTATTCTTAAGTTCCCTTGACTATTTTGAGAAAGTGGCTTCTAAATTTTAAAATTAGAGCTGGAGAGATGGCTCAGTGATGAAGAGGACCAGAGTTCAACTCCTAGCACCCACGTCTGCAACTGCCTATAACTCCAGTTTCAGGGAGACCCAACATCTCTGGCCTCCTCAGCACCTGCACTCACATGTACAAATCCAAACAGAGACATACATACACATAATTATTTTTTCTAAGTTCAAAATTAAATGCTGACTTAGTATCATATCTGAAAGCCCTGGATAAACTGTCAAAGTAGGGAGGCAAGACTTTCCAGATTTTTCTTTTAGTACATTCTGTTTCTGAGACTCCTGCCATCTCTGGATGGTGTTTTTACAAAGGAACTCTGGAAAGCAGCTCTAGGACAACGTTTAGAACAGGAGGATGCCATCTCTCCTGAACTCAATGTGGCTAAAACCTGAAACCACCTTAAACAGTACTAACTGTTGAAGTCAAGAGGCAGAAAGAGTGGTGGAAAGGAAGAGAGAGGAGGGAGGAAAGGGATGAATAAGCACACAGTTAGTTATTGGAAACATCAGCCTTCTAGGGCTTTCTTTAAACCACAGTCCAATTCAGGAGCACCCACGTAGTTAATGACCAACTTTGCCAAAAGGAAAAGAAACAATTCACTTGAAGAGGATATATCTCAGCTTCCTGTTGCTAAAAGTTTTCTTTCTTTTAACCCAGTTTAAACCGGCAATAATCATTGACCCTTTTTTTGGTCATTCAAACTCCTGCTGACATAAAGATGATCGTATGATAGCTGTCATTAACTGAACATCTACTATGAGCCAGGTGGTTTGTGCTCCTGCATTTAGTCTGTACATTTGGTGTCTCCATTCAGAGGTGAAAATTTACTCTATTAGAGTTACTAAGCTTCAGGTTTGGATCTGCACCCAGGTCTGTCTGATGCCAGGGTACTCACCCTTAATCATAGGGCTTTCCTGTAATCACCTTCATGGACCCATGGTCAGCAGTAACCACCTCTGCATCTTTGTCTGAGTGTGAGAAGTCTCCCTCACCCGTGCTTACACTGCTAACCAGAGTAGAGTCACATGTGGTCAGTGGAGTGGTAGAAAGAAGACAGCCTTGAAGACCTTGGTTATTGTTCCAGACCTGACACATCCTTACCCTACCTGACCTTGAGCAGATTCCTATTACAGAGACGGAAATGTCAGTAATGGTCCAGCCTCCTGCAAAGGGTCTTTGTCAAAATCCAAAGTCTAAGAAAGTGAAAATTCTTTATGAATTGCCAAGTGCAATGGAAAGGCGAAAAACAACTCAGGCTCTTCATTTAAAACTTTGATTCCAACCTCTTTCCTTGAGACAGATTTTACTGAAGTAGTCAAAGCATGGTGAAACTACCGGCATGTAGGGTAGGAGGAGGAACCGGCCTCAGAATCAGGAGGCCTTGATTCTGTTCTAGCTCTTCTCCTTCATTATACTATACCACAGACTCTGAGGGAGACACTGCTCTGTGACCCTCAACTGTCCATCGCCTATAGGAAAGAGTTGGGCTCAAGACTCACCAAGCCCTTTCTGTCTCTGATGTTCCACACTTGATTAGAAGGTTATGTCCTCCTGCTACATCCGCTCACTAACACACCCATGGTTTTCAGCATTGGCTGTATTAGAACCACCTGGGAGCCCATGTCCCAACCTGAGAATCTACTACAATTGTCTGTTGAGACTGGCAGGCGTCAGTATTATTCATTTGAGTGAACGTACAAGTGCTGATTTAGTAGAGGAAATGTTTACACATTCCACAAATGGAGAGCAAATGAGGCTTTCGTCTCTCCCTGGCCTCAGTGGCATGTCTGTCTTCAACACACATTTGTCCTGCTCTGGACAGCGGGAGTGTGAGGGGGAAGGGAGAGGATTCCCTCCTGAGCTCCCATCCTTACTGCAAAACCCCATGGGCCTCACGGGCCACAGCTATCTCGTCTTTTAAATGATTATTGCTATTATCTTCTCCCTAGCAGAAATCAATTTACCCACCTCTCTTTAAAAACAAAACAAAACAAAAAACTCAGAAAAAAATCTTGGAATCTAGTCTCCGAAATTTGATGTCCTTGTAATTTAGAGATGGGCTCAGTTGGAGACTGTGAAGAACACGTTCCCATGAGAAAACCTCAGGCCATAAGGACACAGCCTGCTAGGTTGGCTCAAGAGAAGCATGTCTTAAGTGTATACGTCAACCCTTGTACCCCAGGAGTGTCCAGCTATTGTTTGTGAAACAGTGCTAAAGTCTGGCACAATGATCCTCCTGCTCTGTGGGAGCCTCCTGTAATCAGCTTTGGGAGACATTTGAAGATAATCTCTGGCCTGTCAGCTGCTTCAATCACACGCCAGAAGCACTTCACAGAAGCACTTAAGGGACTGCCCCCTGACACACTCCATCAGAACGCAGCTCTCCCCTGCTGTTAATATGAAATCATAGCAGTGGAATGTGGGTATACAGAAAAGCAGTGCCAGCAGAAACTCCAGACTGGTACCCATGATTGCTGCCCTGTGAGGGATTATGGGTGATTAGCATTTGGTGATTTTTTTTTTTTTTTCTCTTTTTGGTCTTTTTAAGACAGGGTCTCCCTGTAACCCCAGCTGTCCTGGAACTCACTATGTAGACCAGGCTTCTTGGCCTTGAACTCACAGAGATCTGCCTGCCTCTGCCTCCCGAGTGCTGGGATTAAAGGTGTGTGCCACTACGCCTGGCCCTGGTGATGTTTTTCTAAAATGAACATGCATTGCAGTGGTCAGAAGAGAGTCAATTTTTCTGTTTTTATAAGGAAGATAGCAGTACCTTGCTTCTATCAGCACTGTGTATTTTAGGGGGCGGGATGCAAATACCTCATTTACAGGATTGAAATTCATGATTGACAGATCTGAGTTGTCGGGGAGGAGTCAGCAGCACTAAATTTCTTAAATTCACATTTATGATGATTGAAATCAAATAGTTGAGCTTTCAAATAGTAGACATATTTTTGCAGATAGGCCTTATAGATGGAAGGATCAGTTTATGAGCCAGTGCATCCCAAAGAAACTTCTGAAGGCTGTGAATGAGAGGCATAGGAGAAGCTCCCCAGGCTGGCCTTGGTGTGTAAGCTGATGTCCTGTTGGGCTTGTCAGGAGGATAGCCCCCAAAGCAATGGAGGAGGCAGCGAAGCAAGTAAGGAGCACACTAGGCCTAGCCAAGAGCCCCTGATTAAAATGTCCAGTGTCATACTGGACCTACTTAAACTAAAAGGCAATGTTCAGTGTCCATCTGGAATTCTAGTTTAACCGGACACCCTGTATTTTGAGTTGCTAACTCTGGCTTGGCTAGGCCTGTGTGTTCCTCTTCCCCACTGCCTACCCTTCCCAGATTTTAGTCAAACTGGTGCCACAAGGACAGATATACCCTCCCCATAAGTTTCTCCCTAGCTCTGACAAGACCACTGCCCCACTGCTGGAAGGCCACCTTACCTTTTTCACATCTGGGACATTGAGGGTTTTCTTTGTGTGAGCAACCCAGCCAACTATTCCAATGTCCAGTGGAAACACGACTTCTCTGTCAGGGACCACGAGGTTGTCCTCAAACTTGGAAGTTGGGGTGACATCCAGAAGCCTGGAGGCCACCTCAGGAATGCCATTTCTTGCTCGGCATATGAACATGCTACAGCGGTCAGCCTGCAGGAACTGGGCCAGCTTCTGCAGGGTCCTGTGAGCTGCCTGCTCAGCACCATCGGCCTCATCCTGCACACATTGGAGCAACTCCAGGCACAGGGCTGACTCCTCCACCTGCATCATGCTGGCCTGGACCCCTGGCCAGCTGTTCTTGAAGACCTCCCCCAATGCCTCCACCCGCAGCCGTTTGTCAAAGTACTCCTTGGCAAAGCGAGGGTTCTCCTCTAGGTATCTCTCTACAGCAGCTTGGCTGATCTCACCCATGGTGTAGCTTGTGTTGACGCTCTTGTCCAGAGTGAAGGGTCCCTCAGAGTGATACCTGGGGGAGCATGACAATAAGGAGATATATCCTAATTAAAATTGCTAAGGAAACTCTAGGTAGTACCTCATTAAAGGTGAAGCAGGAAGTTTGCTTGGCGATGCTTTCAATCTGCCTGGGACGTGACAGAAGATCTCGGCTTATGGTGGCCTTCATGAAGCAGTGGATTAAGGAGTTCTTTAGGACATGAAATCCCTCCCCATTATTAGCCCCTAAATCTTCAGAGGATCATCAGAGAATCTTGGGTCAGCCAGGCAAATGTCAGGTGGAAATTTCTATTCCAGAAAAACAACAGAACTGCTGCTGTCTGCAGCTGGGAAGAATTGTTGCTCTATCTGTCCCTTAATTACATTACAATAGCATCTACTTGCATTTTGGATTGTTCTTGTGTCACAGTTATCAGAATGGCTTGTATAGGGACCTCAGAGTGCTTGAGATTTTTGTTTGCTTGTGTATACAACAAATGTAAAAACTTTAGTGAACATTGATAGGGAGGTGGAAGGGTTTAGCACCCACACAACATGAAAATGAAGACTGCTGTCTCCTTAAAAGTCCTTTATTCACTTAGGTTGCATTGTCTACTCTTTCTCTACAATGCTGTCCCCTCAACTGCCCTCACAGTGGAAAACTTGATTTTGGAACTATTCTAAAGGAACAAAACTGGGCTTGTTACTAAGAGAGAGGAATCATGGCTAAAAACAATGTGCCTACAATCTAATCCCAATGGGCATGAGAACACCTGACTTAGGATTATAGAAGTGACCCATGCGGTGTTGCTAACTGGCTTTTCTGCCTCTAAGCACATTGGTTTGGATTTTGTTTTCAATGGTAATAGCTGGACATCATGCGTTTTTCCTTCTTAAGACAGCCGATTAAATCTACTGGGCCTGAGCTGCTTTGTCTGTTGCTAGGATCCTTGACATCTCTGGGGCTGCTGGCGTCTGGAGAGCATACTTAGGACTACTTAGTTTTGTTTGATGTTTACTTTATTAAGCTTTTACATCTGTTAAGCACATTTCCTCAAGCATTTAAATACTATCACACATCTACTAAGTCAAGCTAAACATTTCATTTTCCACTTGTTTTGAATACTTAAAATTCATTTTTAAATTAATTCGTTTTTTTTTATTTTATCGTATGCATGTTTTGCCAACATGTATATGAGTGCACCACTTGTGTGCAATGTCCAAGGAGGCCAGAAGAGGGTGTCAGATGCTCTGCAACTGGAGTTACAGTTATTAGCTACCATGTGGGTGCTGGGAACTGAACCCAGGTCCTCTGCAAGAACAGCCAGTGCTCTTAATTGATAAGTCATCTCACCAGCCCCATTTTGAATATTTAAATGCTGATTTCAAGCTTGATGAAAGCCTTTTTAAGTATTTTAATAAAGCTACAAACCTGGGGCTGGAGAGATGGCTTAGCAGTTAAGAACACTGGTTGTTCTTGCAGGAGACCCGGGTTCGAATCCCAGCACCCACATGGCAGCTAACTGCCTGTAACTCCAGTCTCTGGGGATCCAACAGCCTCTTCTGACCTCCATGGGCATTGCACGACACGGGTGCACTTACCTACAATGCAGGCAATACACACATACACATAATTTTTTTTTAAGTAAAAAAAAAAAAAGTTAAAAAAAATACAAACGTGAGAGAACAGTTTCTTTTAAAATGAAGACCACACAACATGTTATAATGAATAAAAATTGTTGCCCTATCGGTCTTCTGTTGGCTTCTAAGCAACAATGTGCAGGTTTTGTTTAATTCTCTAAAGTTAAACCTTTACCCCACTAGAACGATAATATTCTTAGTAGTCACAAAAGAAAGAAAGGCTGAGCCTGCAGGTTCCATGAACTGAGCTGTAACATGGTTTCCTGGGGAACAGGATTCACACTGGCATTAATAAGTTAAGCCAGTGTGTTCTGTTGAGATTCACCTCAGAGCACCTGCTAAGGTACCCATGTTTTCTTGTACTTCCCTATGTGACACTTAAGTCTACTCTCAGGAGAGTTTTTAGTGGGTGACTATTTCCTACATAACATTCTTAGAGTGTGGTGTTAGGTAGGTCCTTGTCAGGATATAAAAAAACTAAATAGATGAACAACAAGCCATGAGATTGAATCAGTAAGACAATTTCTCTAAAAATAAAAAGGATAATAGAGAAAACAACACAAAACTAGGCAAGCCTAGAAATGCTGACTGAGCCCCAATGATGGACCTCAGAGTCTAGACTAGGAGCTTTGCAGTTTTTGTGATAGAAGATGACATGCATAGGGTTCCTCCCTTTGGCTAAATCTGGTAGCAAAGTAATGATGGACTTGTAGAAAAAGTCTGGCTGGAGACATGGTTCAGTAGCTAAGAGTTCTTGCTTACTCCTCTTGCTGAGAACCTGACTTCAGAGGTGGCTCACAATCTCCTCTAACTCCAGCTGCAGTGGACCCAATGCCTTCTTTTGGTCTCTGAGGGCACCTCTATACATGTGCACACGCACACACACACACACACATGTGCACACACACACACAGAGGCACACACACATACACATTAAGAAAAATAAAGCAATAAAAATTTTTTTTAAAGAGTTCCCTTTTTTTTTCAGTTCTGTGGAACAGTTTGAGAAGCATTGATGTTAGTTCTTTTAAAGTATTAGCAGCAACGGCATCCAGTCCTAGCAAGTTTGTGTCATTCCAGGAATGCAAGGATGAGCCACCACACATAAATCAATAAAACCAGTATAGCACATAAACAGAATCCAGGGTAAACAAAACACCCACCAGTCCAATGGACAGTCACAACCAAGCCCATGGTTATGCAGATGGCCCTGGTTAAACTAAGTGTGCCATAAAAAAAGACATGACTGAGAAAGGGTGGTGTAGGGAAGAGGGGGTTAAATGGGTAGGAGGGAGATAGGAAACAGTGATATCAGAATGCATAGTATGCATGTATGAAGTTGTCAAAAAATTTTAATAAAAATTATTTTTTAAAGCCATAAAAATGAGCAAAGTATCTAAGTAGATACTTTTAAAAAGAAAAGTGATGAATAAGTATATAGGAAAAATACTCAGTGTCATCAGCTATCAGGGAAATGAAAATGAAAACCATATTGAAATCGTATCTCATCTAGTCCAAATGTTGTTCTGAAAAGAACATAAATGCTGTCAAGGGTGTTCCATATGACTCAGCTTCGCTACTCCTGGATGCAAGCAAAAGGAAATGAAGTGGGCACACCACAGACACCTGCACACCCGTGTTTATTGTGGCGCTACTCACCATGGTTAAGAGGTGGATCAGCCTGTGTGTCCATCAGCAAATGAAGAAAAAGGTCGTACCTATGTACAGTGAACCATTATTCAACCATGAAGAAAACTGAAAACCTATCATTTGTAGGAAAATGGATGGATCTTGAGGGTAGCATGTTAAAATTAGCCAGACATGCAGAAAGAAAAGTATCATGTGTTTTTTGTCATATGAGGAAACAAAAACAGACAAACAAAAATCCAATGACCTGAATCTACAAGAATGATTATTAAAGACTGAGAAGAGGGCTGGAGACAGGAAGAAGGTGGTGGCTGGCAGACAGGATCAACACGTGACATAGAATGTATGGAAAAAAATCACAGTGAACTCCAGTGATTTCTTACAGTTAACTTGTATTAATAGTTACAATAAAAACTTCATTTCTTAGTACTGAGCAAGATAAATTGGAAAAAGCAAATACTGGGCATTGGTATACAGATTTATAACCTATATTGCATTTGGGTCAGCATCAAATGTAGTATAGCCTTAAATTCTACAGTGATGTGTTTATGAATTTATATTTTGGAAATAATTAAGGATATATATATAATTAAGGATATATGTGGTTAATATAGTTAAAAAGGTGTTTATCCAATTAGATAGCTATTGATTACCCCCAGCTGTTGATTACACCCATATAGTTTGTTGTGAAGGTCACTGTTATGGTTACTAATAACCATTTAAAGCTGGGGTTGGACCATTGGTTGATTTTCTCCCTTAGCAGCTTGCATAATATCCTCTGAAACTATGAACGCTAGTCTTCAGGGAGGAGGCTTCCAGGTCAGTTCCTGCTCCATTGCTCCAAGTCCTGTGTTTGAAGCATGTCCTGTCTTCAGCAATAGGGTCTTACTTTCAAGATCTGGGAGGTAATCAAGGGCTGTGGCAATAGCTTGTGTTATCTGGGGGAGTCTCTTGGACTACCCTGACCAACAACGGAGGGACATCTGGGTACACAAACTTGACTTGCTAGGCTGTAACATATGACAGGATGAATGAAATGTGATAGGGAGCTATGGGGGTGGAGATAAGGAAGGAGATCTGAAAATAATTAAGATGTATTGTATGAAACGCATAAAAATTAAAAAATATACATAAAAAAGAAAGGTTTTTATCATGAACATGATTGTAAAAATAAAAGACTAGAAATTGAGAAAATGTTCATGCTGGTGAGATAGCTCAGTGGATTGAGAGTGCTTGTTGTCAAGTTTGACTACCCCAGGACCCAGATCGTGGGAGGAGCAAACCAACTCCTGAAAGTTGTCCTCTGATCTCCACATGTGTACTATAGCATGTGCATGTCTACACACACACACACACACACACACATACACACACACACTTAAAAAAATGTATAAATTACTAAGAGATTCAATAATGGAAAGTTGACTAAATAAATGACACTATAGCCATTGATTAAATATATAATCACATATCTAATATTAAAGTCTATTTGTGGGTATGAATAACTATCTAGTATATACAATTAGTTACAAAATAGTATTGCAATATGATCACACACACCAGACACATATACATACAGAGGTATATACACCACATACCAACATATTAACTATAATTATTTCAAAGAAGTAAAATTGAGGCTGGAGAGATAACACAGAGGTTAAGAGCATGTGCCATGTGTGATGGTTAGTTTTCATTGTTGACATGATACAACCTAGAGACACCTGGGAAGAAGGAGGTATAACCAAAGAATTGTCTCAATCAGATTGGCCTATGGCCACATATGAAGAATTATCTTGATTGATGATTGATTTTGGAGGGTCCAGTCCACTATGGGCAGTGCCATCATTGGGCAGGTGGTCCA